GCAATTTTTTATTCCATACAAGCTTACTACTAACGGTGCATTGGACCCTATATTGTCTGAACAGTTATTTCTGATTAGTACTATAGCGACGAGAACAGATGAATACATCTCCATGTCCAATCCTATTGACCCTGCACCTGCACGCCAAATCCACAGCGACGTCGATCGACTTGTACCACCTAGGAAGGCACCCGACCAGTACATATGATACCTAAACAAGAAACCAAAATTGATCGTTTTGCACATCGTGCATGAACAACACCAAATATAAAAAACCGGTGAAGTATTAAGACGGTGTTTGGTCAAATTTTGACCCTTATGTACCGAATGCTTCCCATCCCGCAAGGGTAATTCAACCTTTATCCAGCACTAGACTCCAAATATACTATAGGAGGAGCATATACTCAATGAATAAGGCATCTTGAATATGTACAGCTACCTCAACTAGCCCTACTATATTACGGGCAACCACTAACCTCCCGACCAACCCCTTCCGCATATATACAACCCCTCAACCCCTCAAACCCCAAACTTCCCCCCCTCCGGCACAGCCAAATACGAGCACCCCTTATAATCGCACGTATCCTATCACAACCGCAATTAGCCACCTCCCCCCCTTTCCAAACAACTAAAAAGAAAAGAAGAAAAGACATACCTTATAAACCTCCGTCCCCCACCAACTAAACCCCTTACTCGCACCACTAAAATAAATCGCAAAGAAGATCACCACGCCCGCAATCGAAACCGACGAATCCAACGCCGAACTCAGCACAAAATTATACTTATACCACCACTGCCACACCCTCCTCCTAATCCACCACCCAAACGTCAATCCCACAATAGCCCAACTACCATAATTCGTCCCCGTCGCCGGAGGGAGGTAATTCAACCCGCCCAGAAACAGCGGGATATGAACTCTCCGCCAGAGGGAATTCGGGTAGCGGCGTTTGAGGAAGTATACGGGGATAGGGAGGACGGCGCCAATGATGAAGAAGTAGAGTAAGGAGCTGTAGCCGATCCCGTTGGTGAAGTAGTGGCGTGGGCCGATGGCGCCCCAGATAAGACTCGTGTTGAATTTTGTCCTCGAGAAGGGACAGCTGAACCCGTTGACGGCGTCGCTGGTGCAGACGTTGCTGATGTTGCCCAGACTCCAGTTTAGGACGGCGACGGAGCTGAGGGTTCCGAAGATCATGCCGACGCATTGGACGATGAAGACTTTGCGGGGTGGGATCTGTGGGTTATTAGTTAGTATCTAGGGACATCGGAGGGTGAGTGGTAGGTAGTAGCAGGTGGGGGTGAGTACCTTGCAGTAATCGCAGAGTTTCATGTCCTCTGCAAAGTAAAGGCCCTTGATGGTGGTGATGTAGCCGATATCGAAGAACCAGATGTTAGCGAGGACTTTGCCTTCGAAGACGAACCCGGCGACGATGCGGCAGAAAATGTCGATGTTTATTTTCAGGTTGGATGTCGCGTATACGATTGCGAGCTGCGCAGTTGAGTTATTATTAACCTTTGAATTAATTGTGGATGGTGTGGGGAAGTACACTTACCGGGCCGTAAAAGACCATAGCTACCGCGCAAGCTAGCAAGACGCCGTACCATCGCAGTTCGACGTTCCAGTATTCGACGCTGAATATGCAGATGAATAGTGCCAGTACGGCTGCACCGAGGTACCATAGGAATGGGACATCGCGGTGTCCCGAGTTGGTGTCGGTGTGTTTCTTGTCCTTGGAGAAATAGCTGTGCACGACATGTGGAACACGCAGAGCGCCTGCGGCTATGTCGTGGCGGTTCTCGAGGATGACCCAGACTAGGAGGGAGCTCAAGGTTGCGAATGATAGACCGAACATGTTCAAGGCGTAGGTTACGGGCATGTAGACCTGAAGTATTTGAGTCAGTAGGGTTCGTGGAACTGTAACTGTAGCAGGGCGGCGTACCGGAGAATAGGCCTTGTATTTTTCGATATCCAGTTTGTAGCCGGTCGCTTTGCTGACCACTTTAGATGCTTTGTAGGTGGCGCCGGTGTTATCATAGACTGAGGAGGACATGATCAGTATGAGAGCATGCTTAGACAGACGGCAAGTTGCATACCTGACGAGCTCTGGAAAGGAAGGTAGCCTGTATACCATACATTGCGGTAGTAGCAAGCGACAGCGACAATCCAGATCCAGAACACCAGGGAGGAGAAAACATTGATGATTGCCCACGACGGAATCAGCAGTGGTGATCCGACGTAGGAGATTTGACTCCCTAGCGAGGTATTAGCTTGGTTGTGGCACGGTCATGGACCAGTACTTACAGTCAAACGTGATAGGCAGTAAACCCATACCACTTTCCATGCCGAAGAGCTGATTGACGACCGTGCTCTTGGGGTTGATCCAGCATGGGAAAGTGAAATAGCTCAGGGCTGGGAAGATGAAGTCTGGGAACCAGTACCAGCAGAAGGAAATGCAAAAGGCAAGACTGAAGAATGCGTAACGAGACATTTTCCACGTATCCTTACTACTTCTCATTAGATCCTTCACTTCTTCCCGGATATAGCAGTGTACTTACACCCCTTGTAGATCCCCTTGAGCCAGATTATGCAACGTTGTCGTGAGCGAAGTCGTGCTCAGCACACCCGGCCAAATAAGTTCCTTGGGGGCCACCACCAAGGACCGAAAGAAGCCAGCGAGACAGAAGCCGACCAGGAATGTTCCTAATGTGATCAAGATCTGGAAGCCCCAGCCAGCTTTGTATCCGTAGAACATCTGCTGTTCCGTCAAGACGTCCGCTCCTAGTCGGACGTAGATACTGAGGTTCGACATGATGTAGACTAAAACGTGTTCCTATATCGAGTACCTATTAGGACAGGTTCGACGATAAGTCAGGCGTACGGCCATTCAATGCTCACCTTTTGGTTAAACGGCCCCGGATTCAAATTGAATCGGCACACGCCGAGATTGACATCCCAGCTCGGAAGGGTCTTCTCCCAGAGCTTGCCTAGCGGGTACGCCAGCAGCAAAGTCACCGAAGAGGATATTGTGATGGATGGTTTCCGAAGGGTGTAAAGTGTGTTTAGTCCACTGGCCACAATACAGAATCCAATACCGAGAACCCACATTCTCAGCGTCAGAATAGGTTCTGTTGGGTCATCTTCGTGGATACCAATGCCTGCCGCCCGTAGTACTTCGGTCTGGGAATCTACCTCGGCTGGTGGTTATGTTAGCAGCGACAACAGGGACTGGAGGTTAAGTGAAAAAAAACTTCAAACTCACCACGGTCGGTATCCTCGACAGGGTAGACGCTCTCGTTGTCGAGACCATCTTTGGTGTCGGTGGCCATTTCCGCACCAAAATCAATAGCTGAATAAGACCAGGACCATGGAAAGTTATCAGATCAGATAGGTGGCATCAGATAAGATCGATCCCGGGCCGGCGTGTCTTAAATATATCCAACAAAACTTGCCAACAAAGCCAGGTCACCGGGTGAGGGATTATTCTGCCACGGATTGTCGGCACCCACAAATCTCCCTCGGACTAACCTAAGCCTTAGTGGGCCGTGTTTGGACGAAAACACCCCAGCCCTATAAGGCGAATGGGTGCCTGTGGTTCCGGTGGACCCTTCGGGTTTCGTGTGCCCGCGCAAAAGCTTTCTTGGCGACTTGGCCGTGATCGAATCGACCCAATGTTGCAACCTGGGAAGATATTTATCCATGGTGATTATATGAAGGGATAATTCTGCTCGAGTGACTGTATAAACTGTCTACTATCTAGCAATTGCATTGTCTCAATTGACTAGGGTGTAAGCACTTCTGCCCAGCGCGCAAGTGAAAAAAAGGGGGCATCGTGAGGAGATTGCATCTCTCCCGTGGTTCATATCGCGCTAGCGTGGTACTCGCATGCTTAGCGGGTAGTGAACGTCTAATTACTGGCCATATTAGCGAATCAACTGAGACAAGGCGCCTTATCTGATCCCTTTTGCCCGGATGATTGTGACTGCTCGGCTCAGTACGTAAGGTGGTTGCATTTCCGCGGTTTCCGCGTCATTTGGTGTCCCAAGTCTGCCTCTGGAGGTGTCCTACAGGAACTGGAGTCATGGGTGATCTCAATTGCTGCGTCAGCCAACCGCCAAAAAGCTTACTCACGTCCTCATCACGCTCATATCCTGAGCCGACAAGACGCAACAAGTCGGAAATCCTTCCTCGAGTGGCATTCATAACGGGCCCGCAAACACAGTCCCTCCAGTGATACCCTGTTCAAGGCTAATGTAATACTAACACTCCTATCATCCTGCATCTGGCGGGATGCCTATCTCCAGGTAGACCTGTGGGTTCCTTCGATGGTCACTTTGCCCAACCAACGAGAGCTAAGCCGGAACTCCCGAGTAATCTTGGCATTCAGTTCGAGAGGGGTTACTGATAGAAATGCAAGGTTGGAGCTTAGTAGGTAACAAGCAGGCGGATATCAGAATTGCCGGTCGCTCAAAGAAGATTAGTCACGCCGTAGGATAATTTGGAGGAGTCCACAGCTCCATCTGTTTTCACTCACTTTGTCGGCGTTAAGTCCAGGCTTCGGGGATATTACCGGAAGTCCTTGTTTTTCCTGGCTATTTCTGGATGGGACTGCGAGCAGGCCTGTCCACCGGATGCGTGGTATCATGCCTCGCGCCTTCTGATCCGTCGTCCCACTCGACGAACGGTCTTGGACAACTCAATCATTGCCCTTCAGCCTTACGACAAGGCTGAAAGATCAAGAATCTGATTGCGTAATGGTATTTGTTCGCTCTTAATTGACGGCCGGGACTGGCCAGTCAATGGTAACGGTGGTGGAGTGATCGTGAATGCGATTCGGAAAGCAGTTTGCCGAGCATCCAAGGTTGTGAAGTTTTGGCACTTGATGGAAAAGATCGCATCCTCATAATGGCAACTAGCCAGTCACACTATCATGCTCTGGAATCAATAGCTTCTCACGTATTTAGGCATACGGACAATTGCTGCTAATGCTAAGATGCGGTTGATATAACAGATATTTGTCATGTGGACGGACCCGTTGGACAAGAAGTGAGGGTCTGTTGTCGCAGGGTAATTATCGTATGTAACAATATTTCTCTATCCAAGCTGACTAATATATATTAAGATGACTGTATCCAGCTATATGATCGGAAAATGCTGATTGTCAGTCTATCATGTTAGTAATGATTCCAGCGCCGAAAGAAGCCAGATTAAGCGACCCCGGGCATGATAAACTTTCCAACAACAGCGGGTGAGCCATGAATATGGAAAGCTTGTTGATTACGAGTACTATCACATGCTGACATCACTCTACTTTTTATATGTGGTATGGGGGTGTTCATTGTTCATCTCTCGCTGCAGGTTTTTCTACGAAAACATCAGAGCTCATAATAACTAAGAATTGTAATACAATATACATCGCGAAGAATGTCTTCAGCAGCAACAAACACACAACAGCAACCCACCCCTTTTCCCTCCGCAACATCAGAAACATCAGATCGCTCCGCCCCAAACACACAGCATGATCCCCAACTCTTCCAGCCGCATTATTTCTTCTTCTATGGCAGCCTCTGTGACCCTTCTTCCCTAGCAAAGGTGCTCAATCGTCAGGACAAACCGCCCACACGTCCAGGGATGATAATGGAGCACGGGATGAGAATGTGGGGTGAATTTCCGGCGCTGTTGGACGGATGTCCCGAAAAGCCGATTTACGGGGTCGGGTATAAGGTGCGCTCGCCGGAGGAGGAAAATCGCTTGGCAGAGTATGAGACGGATATGTATCGAAAAAAGGGGTGCGTTATTGAGTTTAGGGATGGGTCGAAGGTGCCTGGAGTGACGTTCGTGTGGAATGCGGATCCGTGGCTGTTGAAAGAAGAGGGCTTTGATATGAAGGATTGGCTGTTGGAGCAGACGGAGAGTCGTGGGGAAGGTGAGGTGGGAATATGAGGATTTGGGTGCGAGTGCTCCTCTGTGATTTCTCGTGTAATAATGATTAAACTTCTGTTAGAGTCCTGTACTAACGTTGTCTCAGATTGGTTTCTGACGAAATGGAAGATCAAAGCTCCTTTTTGTCTGGGTGTCGTTTCCTCCAGACGTAGCCTGCTCGGTCGCATCATTTGCTTCGTTTTTGTTGATGGTACTCTCGCCGCGTTGATGACTCTCGTCTCCGTCATGCCTCTGGTGTAGCTTGTGCTTCGCACCGTCCACCTTCTCTTGCAATGCGCGCACCTTTCGCTTTGCTCGGGTATAGCCTTCTATCCCTGCCAAGACAGCGTATGACTTGCTGATTGACACGTGTGACATGTCGACACCTTGGTCTTGTAGTGAATGGATGAAGGCGCGGAAGTTGGCGGCAGGGGGGCGATAATGGCCACTGTTGATGTCAGACGAGGCACCAGAACATGAGGCAGGGTATATACCTCAAGGGTGCTAGACTTCGTAGCTGTCCATTTCTTATCCTAATCAATCCAGCAGCTGCAATGCGCGCACCTCGCAGAAACGAAGAGTGCTGAAAGGCCCCGGACTCTTTGATGCCAACGAATAGCCGGAAGGTAGTATCAGCAACCTGTCTTGTTAGCTACTACATTACAGACTATAGGGGGAAGAATAAAGTGACAGCGATAGACTTACAAAGATCCACATATCCTCCGTCTTCGACGACTTCCCTTTCAGGGTTTTGAGGATCGTTCCCGGACTAACATGCGCCAACTTCTGTCCCACCTTTGTCGCCTGGTAGTCATCCTTCTCCTGTTTCCCCAAAGCATCCTCATGTTCACTAAGCGAGCTATATCCTGACGATGACTCCAACGAGTCACTCATCTCCGACAGAACTGGACTTCCATCATCCGTATTCCCCCTAAACCTCGGCGCATCCTCCTCAACAGGCACAACGCCCCTCAGACTATCCTTGAACCGGGCATTATCCGTCCAGATAAGCTCCCCATTCTTCGCCCACCGAAACTTCCCCGCCTCATCCACCTCAACCAGATAATTCATCCGTTCCTCTCGCGACAAATACCTCACCTGCTGTCTCTCCAATTTCTCTCTCGGACACTGAGGCAGATCCAACTCACTTCCCTCCCCATAGTCCAACCAGTAAAAGAAATTCTGATTCGTAGGCGAATTCTTCCAATAGATATGATAGACCCGCAAATTACTCCCATGTCGGTGTTTCAAGTCCACCATTTCCAGAAAGTATTGCAAATCCATCATCTTGGCCGTAGTTCCAGCCGGGAGATCATGGTGGAGAATACTAGAAGAGGAGCCCTCCGTCCCTGAGCCATTTTCGCCCATGGTATGACTACTCGTCGTAGCTGTCTTCGACTCGAGATCCTCATCGTCATCCCCTCCAGCGCGCTTCGCGACGCTCACAGCGCGAAGCCAATTCCGACGTGCGTTTGCGGTGCTATCAACGTCTTCAGCTGGCGCAGATGGTCGGTGCAGTTGTCGCCATTCTGCTTCTTTGACAGCCTGTTATGGTGACAAGATAACGACCTTTAGCATGTATTGTCCACAAAAAGCGCAAGAAAGGGAATGGTCCGGGAAAAGCCTACATCTTTCCATCGCGACGTCGACGCAGAGAGATCCAGTCCGTGAAGTTCTCGTCGTGTGCGATAGCCGCGATATATCCTCTATATCATGAAGTTATTGTTAAGAGTATTGCAGGATGTAGCGAGAGTAGAGGCCGACCTGGATGGTTTGCGCCGCCCTCGCTCGCTTCTCGGTGACGTCATGGTCAGGGACATGGCGGGCAGCTGCGGTCGCGGGGTCCACAGACCCGCTGGTGCTGCTGGGTTCCACGGCAGATGCCATGGATTGGATTATGGAAGTAGGTGATTTTATCTAGGGGAGATGCTCTGGAGAATGTGGTAGGTATGAGTGATGAGAGGATCATGAGCAGAAAGAACAGCTTGCAGACGGGAAAGAAAAGATTGATTGTCGCTGCGCCGAGCCAAGCCTGGGCGTTGGCGGGGCTGTGTAGATCCTGCCAAATGCCAATTCAATGTACAACTTTGTATGTAGCTATCAACCAAAGGATACTTTGGACTATTCACATTAACCTAGACCCACTAAGTAGCCACTCTGGCTAAAATAATCTAAACAGTCACTCTCCTCGCTCGAAGATACTCGTAATCCGGCATCGCATCACTGACCGCCTTCTCGATCAACTGCGCCATTTCCTCCCCAAACTCCAATTGCCACTTCTTGACCTCAGTGGGAATATCCACTACGGCTGGCTCTTTGCTCTTCATCACACCTGATGATCCATTCAATGTCGACAACATAACCGACTTTCCTGTATCCCAGTCAAACACGCCCTGGGAGGCCCCATTCGGTCGTGCGACGCTATCCGCATGCACCCCCCTCTCCCATTGGAATTGAAGCTTGCTGGGGTCGAGTCCTGCTAGTTGACAGAACTTGGTGACAGCATCCGGGTTATGGACCACGTCGTAGGCGTCCAGAAGGAGCGGAGTTGAGCCGGTTTGATCCAGAGACCAGTCGAAGAGTGACCGGGTCCAGTGGAGGGTCATGTTGGTGAGTAAAGTTCCGGGTAGGATCTTGGTGTCCATGACACCCATATCGGAGATCTTATTCATGGCACGACAGAAAGAGGGGAATACTATGGCTGGATGGCGGATGATGAATGCCATTGTCCATGTGCGGAGGTACTCGTCCGGAAGGACAGTTTTGTTGTTGGTGGAAAACGTCCTCGTCGTACCATAGGTGCTAGGGACGTTGACGTGGAAGGTGGAAAAGTCATAAGGGCCCTTCTCGGGTCCGTGTATAGCTTGCATGAAGGTCATGGGGTTGGAGAGCCAGAAGGAGTGCTCCTTGGCGAACATGGTCTTGTTCTCCCGCTCAGCTAGAGCGCAGGTCTCCTCTAGATGGTCAAAGCATTCTTGGAAGGTTGACTGGACCTCGTGTTTCGCTTCCTCGGTCCATTCAGAGGGGGCCTGTGTGAGGCGACCGTCTTTAGCAACGGCGTGAAAGGCGTTGTAGAAGAAATAGCCGCCCCGATCGGCTGCGAAGGCGTTGGGTTGACCGGGGATGTTGAGGATCTTCAGAAGCAGATTGGACGCAGTGCGGGGAACGCTGACCAAGAGAAGACGGCGGGGTGAGTTGTGGCTTTCCATGATTGTCGAATCGATTGATTGATAAGTTCAATTTAGGTTATACTAGGGCCGTTCCTTATTCTCTTGTGTCTAGATTGGCTGCGGACAGAGCAATTGGAAGCTTTGAATATTGGCTCATCTTAGAGCTATATGGCGTGATCAGGTACGTACTATATATATGTTAGCTTGAATAGCTGCCAGGGAATCTACCCTGGACCGTTGCAACAACCTGCAGCGGAGCTTCGCGCCTTTCGAAGCTCCGAGAAGTGGAGGCCCCAAGACAGCGTCGCATTGGACTAGCCCTGAGAGGTAAAGCCGGGATGCAGACATGGGGAGAGTACGGATTTAGGCTTTAGGAACGTCCGAAAATCTGCTGTCAGTGAGAAATGGGGTATAGTAGTGTATGCTATGTGGATAGAATCCCCAGCCGATAATAATGGATAAACCCCGGTCCGGGACGATTGTAGTATGACAAGCTGCAGATCACCGTTGGGGTGGAGACAGCAGATGCCAATTGAGTGAAAAAGAAATCTGCTGCCGATTTGTTCCAGGTTTCGCCATATGTGGCGGCTTTGACTCCGTTCAGCTGGAGGTTGATCGTTGGCAGTTGAAACTCCGGACATAAGAAACCCGAGCTTGACGGTTGCGTGCTGGATGCTGGCTAAGCACTTACTCAAAGAGTCGGTCCATACAACTCCAAGGATGTCAATCAACTGCCTAGTATCTGGCTGCTAGAAAAGATGCATCATGCAATGATCAATATCTATTACCTTAGATGAAGCCTTGCATGCAAGTATAATAAAGGCTTGCCGTATGAAATTCTTTCAGGTGTTCTGGAGTCCGATAACTGCCAGGGCATACTGATCGCAACGGCCGGTCCAATTGCTGGAAGATCTATGGAATATCAAGTGAGAGGCGCAAGTAGTAGAGACGCATTACTTGACAAATACCTAACTATAGGAGTAAGTACTTGTGTGAGGTGCAATGACAATGTACGGAGGAAATGATGTTTCAGTCATATAGTATGTCCATTCCGTGGTGGAATTGCTGAGTATAGCTTCAATGTAAATTTAGATTTCGCCTATCATATTAATAAGTGCTATGAAGAGGTCCTAAGATAGTCGGCATGTGATGCGTTGACACTCCGTGCTTGGGGATATGGGGTCGGGTGTGGCCTCAGCATAATGGAAGCCTGGGCTGCCTGTCGATCCCGGATCCCGGACCGTGACTCAAGTAAAAATCCCGATTCGACTCTCATGAGTTTGCACCATAAAGGTACTTTATATGGTGGTGACCACGTCTGCTAAGTCTCGTGAAGTTCCGAGTGTTGACGAGAATGTAAGGCATATTACCTTGCCTGTCAAACTCAGATGACGGCACCATGTCAATGAAGAAGACAAGCTTTTGGTTCCGAAATGCAGAGAAAGGAGTGGAGGATTAATTGACCTCCATAAACCCTTATCGTTGTTCGGTCTCAGATCACGCTGTCGCTTCAGACACTGGCTCAGCCTGTGCTTTCGGCATCTGGTCCGGCACATCAGCTTTAGTGCCTTGGGCTTTCTCCTTGGCAGCAAGCTTTGGCTGTCTATGAAGAGCACGCGGAGCCATGCTGCCTGTTTTAGCAATGGCCAAATTCCGCTTGCGCCGGCTGTGCCAGGGTCCATCATCCGATTGTCGGATATAGTACCCCAGATCAGCAGTGGGATCCCACTCTGTCTGGGAAACGCCAATGCCCAACCATGAGAAACGATTTCCGTTGTACTTGATATCCCAGTCATCAGCACGTGGCTCTCTCATTGCCTCAAGATAGTGTAGAGTGCTTCCAGGCCAAGTCGTGGGAACGCGACCGCCGATGGTATGGTTGTTGTGGGAGTTGCGGCAATTATCCGTCCAAACAGCTTTTTGCATGAAGGAGCCGACATGCTCCTTGAACTCAGCGCAGACATCCCGCTTAAGAGCCATGCTATGGATGGGTTCCGTTTGGTAACGGTCGATAAAGGAACAGATGTAGTCTGCTTGGGCTTCAATCGCGACCATGGTCGGACCATTGGAAACAGGCGTGTAGGGGCCAAGCATTGTAAAGGTGTTGGGGAACTCTGAAATACCTATTCCCATGTAGCCCATGATCGACTCGGCCCATTCTGTCTGCAGGTTGCGACCATTGGGTCCAATGACAGGGTAGCGCGGTATGTAGGAAGTGTCAAACCCGGTGGCACAGATGATAATGTCGCCTTGATGCTCCTTCCCGTCTTCGCTGACGCACCCAGATGGTGTTACGGATGTCACACCACCGTAGACCACGTCGACGTTCTCTTTCTTGAGGGTCTACCACGCGTATTAGTATCACCTAGAATACCCAGGGGTGTGGAGTCCTCACAGTTAGATACCTGAAGCCCGATGGTACCACACGCTTGCAACCAACAGAGAAGTTCGGTATCAAACGGTCTTCCATCTCTTGATCTTGAAAGGCGTTCCTCATAACGGATGTCAGGAGACCTTTTGCCTGCTCCTGAAGGACAGTATCCTTGAGGTACATGGCTGTTCGTAGTAGTCAGCAATAGTCACTGTCAATACGGGTACTTTCAACGTACTGAAGATACTGTTCATAGTCCGTTCATTATCCCTGCGCAGCTGTGTCACGCTCTCTGGATTGTTCACAAAATGCTCAATCTGCTCCTCGGGGAACTTGCCCGCCTCAGTGCTAATATCCGGCAACAGCCACGTCGGCGAACGGATAAAGATTTTTACTTTGTCAACAATAGGTTGAATGGCAGGGAGAATCTGAACAGCTGATGAACCCGCCCCGATCAGCAGAACGTTCTTCCCTTCGAGCGATACGCTCTCATCGTACATCGCACTGTGTAGCTTGATGCCCTTGAAATCGCCCAATCCCGGAATCTCGGGCCAAGCAGGCTTATTGAGATAGCCCGTCGCATGAATCAGAATGTGACACCAGTCATGTACTGTGCGACCCGTTTTCAGGTCGGTCACCGTCACTTGCCACTGGCCGGACTCCTCGATCCAGGTGGTTTCGGTGACGATGTGCGAAGTGTGGATGTATTTGCGTAGGCCATACTTGTTTGCGAAATCGTTAAAGTACCCTCTGATTTCGCTGGACCCCGCGTATACAGATGACCAGTCTGCTTTGGGTTCAAACGAGTAGACGTAGTTGTGGGAGGGAACATCACAAGCACAGCCTGGGTAGCGGTTTTCGTACCAGGTGCCAGAAACCTCAGGGTTCTTTTCGTAGATCTGCATTCATGGTTAGAGCAGCAGGTAGAGAAAAAATAGGGGGGGGGAATAATGCTATAGATAACGTACAGTGAGATCGTAGTTCTGGAAAGACCTCTGCAGCTTGTATGCCAGACACAACCCAGAGGCACCTGCACCCACACAGATCACCTTGACATGTCTCTCGTTGTGAATAGCTTCCGCTCGAATAGGATCCATTGTGAGTAGGCTTTCTTTTTTGTCAGTGCCAGTGAACACAAACACAAGAGGAAGAGCTCAACAGTCAGGCGAATAGCGAAACAAAAGCTGCAGATGACGACCATTTAGCCGAGGGGCAAGGCGAGATCATTGCGACTACTAACTAAGACCGTCAAATTAGTATGATGTCGACAAGCTCATTGGGTGGGGGCAAGTTGACCATGCCGTCACGGTCATCAGAGTTCAGACATTTGAAGCGAAGACTTCCAGCTCCACAAGCATAATGAAGTTAGTCGTTAAATCCCGAGCTGGCCAGACGGGAGCGAGCTGAGCATGCCACAAAGCGTAGAGTAGTAGGAAACTAGGAGGTATGTACTATCTCCGTTTCCAGCCGTTGATGCTGACCGGTACTCACGGATACTCCAACCACCACAATCACCCTGGTTTTGGTGGGGCGCGCTAAAGCCAACGAGGCAGTGTTAGCGTGGCCCCCGTGGTGTTACATCTTGAAACGGGCTACAATGGGTATGTTCACCGCTCGAGAAATAATACCAAAGCGGACAGACAGGATTGCATTTACGCTGTAATTTTCGCCGATTCTACACCCCAACTCCCCAAAGAGAAAAATCAGAAAATCTGCCAGGTGAGGTCAAGCTGTGGCAATAATTCAGATAAGAATTGAGTTTTAACAAAAAAAAATAATCAGTATAGAACAGGTTTCTTCCACAGTGGCGCTGTGCCCCCCTTTTTTTTTTTTTTTTTTTTTTTTTTTTTTTTTTTTTTTTTTTTTTCTCCAAAGGAACGGGAATAAACGGATGTCGGAGAACCCGGACCTATTCCGAACGTTACACAAAGCCTGAGGCAGTGAGGCCTGCGATTGCGTACTATGTTTGCTGCACCGCGCATAATTGGTCCTAATGCGCAGTGCGCAATACAGTCGTCCGTTCAAGTATTGGAGTATTTCACTTCTTGGAATATTACAATGTGGAATAACTCAATATGTGAGTTATTCCACAATTTTCACTCCACTGAAGGACAAGGCCAAGATTATATTCAGATTATGATTGGATAGCTTGTCAGTCAGGATTGCCAGTGCATCCGTCAGTAGACTAGTACTTGGTACTTACCACTGAACTAATTTCTCACCCCTGTAGCAAATTAACAACAGTCGTCGAGAGTAGCACGTTTAGGAGGGTTGTAAATAGTAGTAAACTAGGTAGCAAACAATTCCTACCTTCAATATAGTCACGTTTGTAGCAATCCTGTATTATCTCTCACAACCCATTCCGGCTATTCTCCTCACCGTCTTGTGTACCAGGTCAGCACTAAAACATCACCTCGTATACCCCAGGGTCTACTCCATCTCAGCCACCACTAACCAACACACCCAACCCCGACAGCTAAACCCACAAGTAGACAAAGATCCCGATCCGGACCTCTCCCTCCAAGCCCATCCATGGTCCTATTCGGCTTCCAACCCCGACACAATGCCTCCAAGACGTGCCACATCGTGACCCAGTCCGAAGGAAAGGCGAAATCCGTGTTCTCCAACTCCCCGCCTTTCTCTCTTTCCGGGGAATCGCCTCCCCAGGACCGTCATTCCCGGGAACGGCATCTCCAAGCATCATTCAGATCCAGAGTTCCTCCAATGGAGATCTAGACATACGTGATTGACATCGGCCTCCCCGACCCTGATCTCAAGATCTTCGGCTCAATGGCGAAAGACCGAAGTCTGGACTCTCTACCTATCCATTGATGAACCGGAAAGGGTCTACCACAGGTCTCGTTTGCCAACAACCACGCCTCAAACGCCAGAAGGGTAGTGTTCGCCATCACTCCAATGTTCATACCAAGGTACTTGCGTCCCCGGCGCCATTGCACATAGTCCAAGATGCAAACCAAGGTTCAAAGCACAAAGGAGTCCTTGGACAATGAACTCGTCATGGGGATAATCTGTTAAACCATTGTCTTTCCATATTGAGGGTTCTAGAGCAGAGATGGAACTCGGAGACACCGATAGTACTTGTCTGTAGCGCGAGCAAGATCATCGATTACGAGGCCTTCTTGTCTTTGCGACGTTGTGGAGGCGGGGGTCTGAAGATGTGGAGGTGCGGTTAGTGGAATCTAGGCCCGTTTGATAGGCTCTTGATCATGTCACGATGTGGCAGTAAGAGTAGCTGTTGGCTATCGCAAGTAGATGATTGACGCAATGGAGCTAGATCGGTCTTCTTATCAAGACGCGACTAATAATAGCACAATGGTAATTATTCTATACCAGTGTGCATGAATTCGCTACGAATTGTTAAACACTCCGTAGAACCGGTGAATGGTCCAGCCTGAGTACTGCAGAATAGCGGGCCCGGGTCTCGATGCACATACTTCTAAAAAAAGTATAGTGGTAATTATAAGGTCTTGCACATGGAGGCGATAGGATCGACAGGCATGCATAACCGGCAACGAGGTCTTAGAGTAGCCCCGTGGTTGATTACGACTCCAGCCACCATATACCGTATTTCCCTCTCTACGAGGATGGCTTCCCCAAAAAGAAAACACGTCATACGCGATATCGGCACGAAGCGAAATAGAGTTTGCTGCGATCGAAGCGGACTGGGTCCGAGGACCTGGGACGGATCGTACCAAGGTTGGTTTGATTGTTGGGTAGAGATCTGCCTGATAACGTGGGTTGAGAGTTGGCTGTAAACCCAGGGACTTTTTCCGTTGCCGCGTCCTTTTTCCGATATCTTCCGGCTTTGGTAGTGGTGGTTGTCGATCGCGGTTCCTGTATTGCGGAAGGTATGATAGTCGCGAAGGAAGAGGGAAAAAAAGGCTAAAATTCTCCGATGTCCAACGACGCTTGGGGATCGGCGGTGTCGTGGATTCAGTAAACCCTTTGTCCGCTCGATGATCTATAGGCAAATACATAACCCCACTCTACAGGTGACCTTGGCTCATGAGTGTCAAGGAATTGGGGGATTGGTCATCATGTTCTTGTGGCTGCGATTGAGTTGGCAGAGAAGAAGTGACAGCATTTGAACCTTATAATGCATAGTTAGGGTGGACAGCAGCTTTCAGGGAAGGAGTTGTCATTGACAAAACATAGAATCAATTCCAGTGCGGGGAACCGAGGTAATTGATACTGTGTAGTTGCTAGTCGCCAGACACCGTGTTGCTGTAGACTCGTAACCGTTTGACCCACACTGATTGCGAGTACAGACTCCGCGTGATCAAAGGAGGGGCCCAGACTGCGTGTCGGGTTGGCGCAAATTGCATTAATTATTAGATTCCGTGGTAGGGTATCATGGCCCCTTCGATTAGGAAGAGTACTACTGGGCTCCGCGAATATCAGGATCCAGCTACTCCGTGGTGAAAAGTGGAGGACGGCTTCTCCGGCTGGAACGGCTCTGTCACCGTTTTTTTTAAACCATAGCCCCATTATTCCCGGCATTTGCACCCTCAATATGGTGGTTGACATAGTTGACGCTAGATACTACTCCAAAAGGATGATTAAGGTTGCCTAAATGAGGCCATGTGGTTCACGTTGCAGCGCCACGGGCTAGGATCGTGCAGCAGAACCACGTTGACTGGCGTACAGAAGGCGAGTCCCAGCGTAGTTGCTCCACGATCCAGGTAGTCTGAACAAGGGTCACTACATAGTGTAGCGCCAAGGTGGGCATTTCGGCCGCCCGGCGGTGATGCTGCAGGGGCCATCCATCGCTGATTGGAACCTAAAACTATGATCGCGGGCTGGTCTCGCCACTCGGGCTCAAGTGGGATAATGGGCATATTGCTTTGGAGTGTTTTGAATCAATATGGAGCAGAGTTGCGGTGCACCAACGGTTCAGCTAGCACTCAAATAATCATAGCTAGGTCATAGCCTGGTATAGCCGGGGCTGATAGTGTATTATGGGAAATGAAGTATGCATACAACCAAACCCCGACGTGAAGCGTCATCCCCGATGTGGCGGTGTAACGAGAGTGGCGTATACAGGCGAATATTCAGGAGGGAAAAAGTTCCCCAACCGAAAATAGTAGTTGTTGGTGTCTTACAGTCGGTTGCGAGATGATTCTAAAAGGTCGGACGCAACTGTAACACCACTGAAAGCGAGAAGGTATTCTTACGAAAGATTGTGGCTGTTTCCTTGACTAGAAATGAGACTAGAGACGAGGAAGAAGGCACTGATAGCAGCATGTAATTCAATACCATCTGGTAAGTAAAGTATCTCCTCGGCACACAAGAAAAGGGGGAGCAACAAATAACAAAAGAATAGTATCCAAAACCAGGGGAAAACATCCCATGGTTTCCCAGGGCCACTTTTACCATTACAATACCGGTACATACTCCATCAAGCCACCGACTTCAGTCCCGAGGCAGGTAAGTTCCCGGCACGGCGCGGCGGAGGGCAACCACCAAGCAACTCCACCCTCTCTAGTCTACTACTTTTATCCAACCCAACCATGGATGTCTTCCCACGCACGTCCCCACTTCTCCCCCCGTTGCCATAATGCGAGAAATGGTCCACGGTACGCCTTTCCAAGAATGGATATTCTACCACCTAACGTACGGAGCTCCATACTCAGCTCTTGGCTTCTGCAGATTTGGACTCATTCCACAGAATAATCGCTCGCTTGCGCTTCGATGATGACAACAGTGCGCCCTTGGAGACCACGGTGCGCCGTGCCCGGCAACTCCCTGTCTAGCTCATCCGGAACCGCACGGCCCATGTCATTCATGGTTAGTAGGAGTGAAGGAGATTTGGCTCATCCACTGGACGGAGACATTTCGAGGATTGGTCATTCAACCGAACGTCTGTGAATTTCCGCTGATTGCTTATAAAGGAGCCATGCACGTCCCGGGGTCTCCTCCTGTCGGGAGAAGGTATAAGGTTGTCGACGTGCATTGCGGCGGTACAACTACTCATCCCTTGCCCAATTAAGAATCACCACCACGCGTGACTAGTACCCTACATACATATTGAATTCCCCCCGACTTGGCTTCCCAAAATGGGCAGTCTTACTCCTTTGCTTCCAGCATCGCCGCGCATGCTACCACATTTCTTTATCTCAGTGCTCTATGCGCTATTCTCCTCCCTCTTCAACCTAATCCCCGAGCATGCAAAAGGTCATCTCCTCAAGTCTGGTAGAGCACAGCACTTCCAGTCATCGAGCTGGGAGCAGGTCGACTATGAGATCCATAACGTCCTCAACCACCACGGCCGGTATTGGTGGCACACTACGGGATACGTGTTGAATCTGCTCCTGCAGGAGGCTGGCTACACAGAGCATGCGCAACGACGCATCCTAAACTTCTTCGGCCGCTCGATCGCTCCGCACCTCGGGGTCGCAAATGAGCCTGGCGAGAAGAGATGGCCAAGTTTCATGACGGACAACCATAACCCGATCGAGTTGAGCTGGGACTGGCATACTGGCAAGAAGGCACCGTCGGTTCGCTTCTCAATTGAGCCCGTGGGCCCCAATGCCGGAACCCAAGTGGATCCCGATAATCAATCTGCAGACGCGCTCTTCAGGAAGGTCTTGATGAGAGCATTGCCCAACACGAATAGGGAATGGTTTGACCATTTTGATCAAGCATTGGCCCCGGACCTACCCCCCAAAGGCTGCATGGAGGGCCACCCGTCGAAGATCTTCTACGCTTTTGACTTGAGCGAGGAAGACATCACCGGAAAGGCCTACTTCTTCCCCGGGTTCAAGGCTAGGTCCACGAAGCAGACAAATTTACAAGTCCTCGCACAAGCGATTCGCACGGCTCCTCACTGCACCGACAATGAGAAGCTTGGCGCATTTCGGATGTTTGAGGATTTTGCCCAGGATTCCTCGACTCCGCCGCTAGAGATGGACATGCTAGCCATCGACTTGGTCCGACCGGCTGATTCGCGTCTCAAGATATACTTTCGAACGCGCGAAACCAGCTTTGCCTCCGTGCGTCAGATGATGACGATGGGTAACCGAATTACCACCCCGTCACTAGAAGCTGGGCTGCGGAATCTGAGGCAGTTGTGGGACGGGGTTCTGGCGCAGACTGGCGTGCCTGATGATACACCACTGCCAGCTGCCAACCATCGCACAGGGGGCATCCTGTATAACATGGAGTTCCGCCCAGGAAGCACGGCCCCCAACGTCAAGGTGTATATTCCCGCCCGCCATTATGCGCCAAGCGACTGGCATGTGGTTACGGCGTTGAACGAATACATGTATGGAATTAACGGAAAGTCGGAACTGCCCATGCGTACCTATACTGAAACGCTGCGTAAAATATTGTGAGTAACCCGTGTCCGCATATCCAAGTGCAGATTGCTAACAATCGACGCAGTACGTCCGATGCTCTCCAGCAACGTGGTCTACACACCTACATCGCCTGCTCGGTTCAGTCGGGTGGTGAGCTCCGGGTTGTGTCGTATTTGAATGTGCAGAGCGAGAACTTCGCCACGGCATGAGCATGTGGCCATGACATGATGATTCATGAGAGACGTTTAGTGTATGTAACATATCTTTCCTCGAAACCCGCCTACAATATTTCTACTTCGTACTGTAACTAAACACATGACATATCGTATTTTATCGCACTTATGATTTGAACTAGATGAAAGAGGAAACGCTTACTTTGAGACACACCGTCACAGCCTGTAGAGAAGAATTCGTAGGATGACGCCTTCTGGTACGTTGGGTAAAGATACCGCGAAACGTCGAGGTCCAAGCAGCACGATGCAGCGAGTAGCGAACAGGCGAGAAAGTTAAGCGTGGGCTCCACTCGAACGGGCCACACCCGAGCTCGTGTCATTTACTGATAACCTCGGATCACGTTGGCCCACGCAAACCCGAGTCGGCTCGAGAGCGGGGTCTTCCGAAATTTTACATCTACCATCGATGGATGGATGGTCTTGATGGAGGAGCAGGCCTCTGGCATGCAACCATTCCATGATCCACGACTGCATGCAGCAACAGATACAGGATCCAATATTCGGAAAGGCGGCCTGAACAACTGAAATGAAATCATCCTGCAGGTTTCACTTGGCACAGGATAAGACACGGGAAATCACCCTCTCATGCCATGCAGAGGACTATACCCAGAACTGCCTCGGGCGCAGCTCTAGTGTCGGTGCTTGACCCACTGCAGTGACTCCTCGTGAGGCCATACTGTCAACACGTGTCGGATCGACGGAGGGGCACCACGGCTTGGGGTTGAGATTTCAAATCATAACCCTTTCACTGTTTTTTTTTGCTCAACACGTGTGAGTCCATAGAGGGCATTCCACCATGTGCTTCTTTTTTCCTTGGATCATTCCTCGCCGAGTATCCGGTTTCGAGGTTCCGCCGTAGCCGCGAGGTATCTATCTTGACTACTGAAGTTTCTCCGTCCAGGGCGAATAATACTCGGAGGTGGCTATTGCCATTCCTGCTGGGAATCACAGTTGATCTAATTCAACTGCAGAAGAAACAGTATATGTGCCGGTGGGAGGACTGATAAGGCAGTCAGATCAAAACAACGACCCTTCCATTCTCTGCAGAAGAATGTTCCATAAACCCAGTCTGTCAACGGGAAGACCAGCGCGGCGCCCGAATAGTTCCCACACTAAGAAACTTCTGGCGTCCTCGACGTTGGGACACAGCTGGCAGGATCCAGAGGGGCAATTCTTCAGCGGCAAGCCAGACCTGATCAGTCACTCTCGCTATACTAGTTCGACCCGTGTGGCGCATTCGTATGCTACCCGCGCAAATATCAGTCAACAAAGATCAGCTGGATTGGGTCCAACGTAACAATCTATGTGGGCTTTCCCTACCCATACCGTATACCTTGATCTGGATTCTTACCAAGATGGAGCCAACCTTCTTCAACCTGGGGTCTTAAGGGGTTTTCATCATCCGTCTTGTCGTGTTTGGCGACATGCCAGGAATGCGTACCCCGCCACCTCCATCCTGGCCAAACTTTCAGCTTTGCCGTCTGTGGTGGATCCACCTCTCCTACCTATTCTGGCCTTTCGTTTCTGAACTCAATGGCTCGCTGGTTCCACTATGGTCTGGCTTTCAGTAGTTTATTACCAGGTAGAACTTTATGGCGCAATATCTCTCATCCAAGCGATCAGGAACTACTTCACACCGCTAGATGGGGATGTTGACACTTATGTGAGCATCAATTTATCAACCCAAGCTTCTAAATTAGTATCTGCCCAAGTATTCAATTTGGTGACCAGTAATAGTCAAAATATACGCGTTCCTCACCGGTATCTGCGAGATTATCTCATCTCTCTGACGTTAAGGGTGAAGTGATCACCTGATATAAGAACCTAACGTATCCTGCGCCTGATTTAATTACATCTACGTACCTACAGTACAGTAAATCTCTACATGCGAGATTTACCATGCCATAGATATGCATACCAATCAAATCGATAACAACCTCGTAGTACTCGTAGTATAACCCCTACCTCCCATAAAGTCTTCTGCTTCACACAAACAGACAGACCGAATTTCTTCGGACTGGAACTCCTGAAGAGGTATTGATTTGCTACTAACTAAACAGTAAGGAAAATGGGGGAATCTTACTCTGTTCTAGTCATAATGCGTTTTCAATACAGATCCGAGCTTTGCCACATATACTACCATGCGCTGAGCATGGTAAACATGGCTCCGTGTTATCTGGGGGTTCAACAAGTTCTAGTATCTATCTATATTTGGTATGCTAGAATTTTTGCTAGTTAATGTAGATCAAGTGATTTGTATATCAATCATGTTTAGCAGTACTGACAATGTGAGGAATATCTAGTTGGGGAGGTTATTGCATTTGCGACTTTTGTGTCTTGGACACGTGATAATACTATCTGAACAATATGGTACCTACTGTCCGACAAACACATGTATAGTGTTTAAGGGCATGTAATTAATTTGGCATGCTATGAGAACAATTATTCTTCATCCCGAATTAGGATATGATTCCCTTTTAACATCCACAACAGGCCCCTTATACACCCTCCTCCCCTGAACAACATACATCGCCAAACTAATCACAAACACCCCCACGAAGAGCACCACGCTCCAATTAAAATTATCCAACGTCACCGGGATCTCAGTCGGCCAGAAGGACCAGAACAGCGCGAAGATCACATAAACCAACGCTACCGCATTAATCCAGATCCCATGCTTCCCTAGACTCCACCGTCTCGGGGGTAGCGTCTCCGGACAGGAGATCTTGCGATACATAACGCAGCTGATGGAGATCGCGTAGGTCCACATGAGCGCTGCGACGTTTAGGGAGATGATGGCGTTAAACGCAGTGTCGGAGCCGATATTGATGAGGGAGAGGAGGCCGCTGATGATGCATGATAGGGCGATGGCGTTGACGGGGAGTTTGTAGTGTTGGTTGACTTTGGAGATCCAGTTTGAGAAGGGTAGGCCCCTGTCGCGCGCGAATGCGTAGGTCTGACGGGCTGTGGAGGCGTTGAAGAGGATGTTGCTGAAGATGACGGGGATGAGGATGATCGCGGTGAGGCCGTTGACGCCGGCGGTGGAGACGGCCTGTTTGAAGACGTAGATGAAGGGGAATCCGGTCGGGTCGTCTAGGGCGTCTTTGACCGAGGGCATTGCGAACATGAGCGTGATGATGAGTACGAGGGCTAGGATTCCGTTGCTGAAGTAGCCGCCGCAGATGGCCATGGGGACGTATCGGCCGGCGTCGCGGACTTCTTCGGACATGTGTGCCGTGGCGTCTGAGCTGAGGGATCCGTAGATGGCGGATATTTGCCCGATCATTAGTGCTAGCCCGACGTTGTTCCAGCCGCCGTAGAGACTGAACTCGGTGAATACGGCTTTTGCGGACTGGCGGGGTGCCATGGCCCAGAGGACGACGATCACCACTACCCAGCAGATGGTGTGGAGGGCTAACAGGGCGTTTTGTA